CCTCCCGGGGGGATGCGCCCGCTCCCCGCCGCGGGGGGCGGCGCTCGGCCTCTCCGGCCATCCTGGATTCAGGATTAAGCCCGGCAGCTCCTCAGCCCATCCCGCGCTCCGGGGCTTTTGCTTTCCCGACCCGTGCACGGCCGGGGGCTCCCTCGGCCCGGCCGCAATTCGGTGTCAAAGCTTCTCTTTTTGGTTCACGTGCACAAAAGGCTTCACAGCTTGGCCAGGGCCCCGCGCAGCCGCCTCCGGAGCAGCCCCGGATGTTGGGAAAGGCCTCGGGAGACCCTGGAGCTACCCCGGAGCCACCCGGGCAGCAGGACCAGGAGGGAAGGGGCAGAACCCAAGGAGCCCCTCGGGAACTGCTGCCACCTCTCCACGGCACAGCGCATCCCCAGCATCTTATTATTATTATTATTATTAAACCACTGGGTTGGAGAAGGTTCCATGGAGCAGTTGGAGATCCCTGTGGATGCCCAGCAGCCCCGAGCTCAGTTTGGGAAGCGCCAACCCGGACACCCCCGCGCCCTCCTGCCCGGCCCCGTCTCCTCTTGTAAACATATTCCAGGCACCAAAGCGCGCGGCTGGGCCGGCATTCCCGGCTGGCCTCCCCCTCGCGGGTGTTCACCCGGCTTGTGGACAGGCCGCAGGAACAGCCGCATTCCCGGCTGGCTCCCGCCTTCCGAGCTGCGCAGGGAGCAGGACGGCCCTCTCCGAAGCGGAGCGGAGCCGGAGAGGGCGGAGGCCGCGAGTGCCATGGGATGCCGAGCGGGAATGCCGTGCGGATCCGAGCCCGTGATCCTCGCGGCGCCCCGGGGAGGTAGGTAGGAACCACGAGTGTTCCCGTCCTCGTTTTACAGACGAGGAAACTGAGGCAAAGAGGTGAAGTGACTTGCCCAAGGCCACAGAGGAGCGGGGGGCAGAGACCCCGGGAATTCCTAGCTCGGGAGCCGCGTGTCCGGCTGCTCCTCCGCACAGGGCGGCCCCTCCGGAGCGGCGGGATCACTTCCAGCAGGAACTCGTGCAGGGTTTGCACATCACTAGCTTGGGTTTCTAACAGTGTTTCCGTAAAGAAGCGCGGGAGCCCGACGGAGCGCCCGGAGCCCCGCGCGCTTCCCGGCCGTGAGGTAGTTTGAGGTCCCCGAGGGCGGCCCCGGCGCCTCCGGAGCGCTCCGGAGCGCTCCGTCCTCTCCGCCCCGTGGCAGAAGGATGCGGGAGACGCCGATCCCGTCCTTCCCAGTGCAAACGCTCCCAGGATGCGCAGGCAGTGGCCGCAGGAGCCACGCGGGACCATTCCTGCAAAAACAACTTCCGAAGGGGCAGCGCGGGCCGGCTCCCCCGA